CTGTGATGGTTAACAGAAAATGCTCAGTGCCCCCCACCCCCGCCTTAAGCAGTGCCCAGGGCATGCGCCATACCCGCCATACTTAGATACGCCTCTGCAAACGCCCAATAAATGGCATTTGTACTTGTTATCTTCCGTGCTCAGAAAGTTTAGCCCATCCCCCCTCCCTGCAATGTTTAATACGTCTGCTGCTGCACATTATAAGGCAGCACTCAGCTCTGTGTATTCATGTACAGATCTCCAGTCACTACTGGGCTCTTGTGTGGTTGTCCCTATAAAGTCATAAGGGAGTGTCCTTGAAGAGAGTGGGCATCTCTGGTGTCAGTCACATAGGAGAGAATGTGTGTCTCCTGGGAGAGAATTTGGGCCACTGCATGGAACTCTAGGGGACACCGTTTACAGCCAAACTCCTCTAGGCTCTTGGCCTCCACTTTGAGGTCTAGTGCTTCCAGGAGTCTCAAATCTTTGAGGGCACTCCTGGATGGTACAGCAAAGGGGAAGATGAGTAAGCCACACCTCTGTGTCAGACTATTGGGTTTTCTGTTCTCTTCATACTCATTTTTCTTTAGCTATGCCTGAGCTACTATTATATATTCTAGCATAGTCTCAAAATTGACATTGTCAACAATTTCATTCTATTTGGATCAACAAATCAACATCCATGGAAGCAGCAGTTAAGAAATCAAGTGATGTTTTGCAATGGGCAAATCTTCTGTAAGAGACCAGAATGTTCCTTAGAAGCAAGGATAGTGAGACTCTGGTTCATTTACTTAGGACACGTCATCAGGAAAGACCAGTTACTAGAAAAGGGCATCATGTTTGGTAAGCAGAGGGTCAACATAAACAAGGGAAACCCTCAAGGAGATGGATTGCCACAGAAGCCTCAACAATGGGCTCAAACACACCAGTGAAGATGGTGTAGGACCAGGCAACTTTTCATTCTATTAAACATAAGGTCCCTATGAGTAGGAGCCAACTCTACGGCAACTAACACAGCAAGCAAAGTCTCAGACTTGTTTGCATTTAGAGCTAGGACTGTTTGCCTTGGGGTCACAGCATTCAAGAGGAAATCAGTGCCCCCCTGAGGCCAGTGAAGCAATGACATCAGCAATATGGAACAACTCCACCAGGTTAAGGTGAATCTTGGAAAAGGAGAGTCTTCTCCATTGCCAACCTTGGAGGATCTGAGTTAGCACTCTAAAAGAGACAGTAGTTCCCTTAGTGTCTGGAACAGCACAGCTGAACATGGTGCACAAAGGCAGTGGGCTGCTTACCTCATCAAAAGGGCCACAGCCGGTCACTGTGATATTTGGCCGGAAATGCTCCATTTTTGCTTTCTTCTCCAGCCTGGTGTTCAGATCTGCCAGGGAGGCTTCTGAGAGAACCAAAATTGGGCTGCAGTCCGGGTAGGCCACCTGTACCAAGAACACAGTTCAATCAGCCTCACTGTCCCATGAAACTGCTTAGATCCACTGCAAAGCTAAGCACAGCCCAGAAGCAAGACCACTCGGGTGCAGGAGAGTGGTGCTCAGGAGAGAGAGGTGAGCCTGCAGGGAACAGCCAGATGAGCCTGGAGCATGTGTCCTGCCTGCTGAGCCTCCGTGGGGCTCCCCATGTCCACGGTCAATTGGAGGCAGCAGGCTGGACTCAGGCCAAAGACACCTCCTGCACTGAGCCCTTTCCACATCCTTATCAAACAGGGGACTGGCCTGATGCCAGTCAGCTCTGTTGTTGTGGTAGTGTGCCATCAAGTCAATTTTGACTCATAGCGACCCCATGTGACAGAGAAGAACTGCCCCGTAGGGCTTCCTAGGCTATAATCTTGATGGGAGCAGATTGCCAGTTCTTTCTCCCCTGGAACCACTGGTGGGTTTGAACTGCCAACCTTTTGGTTAGCAGCTGAGCACTTAACCATTGTCCCACCTGTCAGCTCTACTCTAGTAATAAGCACTTTGAACAACACCCATTCACTCAACAAATATTTATTGAGCACCTACCATGTCCCAGGCACTGTTCCAGGTGGGGAAGCAGCAGTGAACAAAGGCAACAAAACCCCTGCCCTTGAACTCAAAGTGGACAAAGACCAAGCTTTCTTCCATCTTTATCTCCTGCCCCCCTTCCTCCCCCCAGTACTCACAGCAGAACTCCCATACACTGCACACATTCAACCTAATTGACCGAAGGACTCCACACTTCCCTCAGAATGGTTAGCTCCAGGGAGCCTAGGTGACGGAGACGAAGAGAACAAGGTAACTACTACTTTCAACTATCCAAGACTGAAGAACCCAGTTTAGAAAAATATCCAGGTCTTTTGGTTCTCCCGCCTGTTTCGGAATTCTATCTAAATGGGACAAAAATAAAGCAATCATAAATTAAACAACAAAACCTGCCCTCAAGGAGCTTATAGTTTAGGGGACCTGGGAAGAAATCAGTACTTGCAGCATTTTACACTTTATTTAACTGCAGAATCAAGGCGCTGGTCTTTGGACCTTGGCTGGAGGAGAGGGCGTTATTCTTTAGGGCAAGATGCCTTTCCAGCACCTGAAATAACCACACCACACTGACGGCGAAAGAAGGGCCTGGAGAAATGCTGGCCGTGTCATTTCGGGGTACCTAGATTCAGACCCAAACAAAATTCTCACCTTCACCACCCACACCAGTTTCTTTCTGAGTTCTCTGTGTTCCTGGCAGCTCAAAGCCGGAAAACAGGGAGTTATCCTTGGCTTCTCCCTCCAATATCTCCCCTATTCAGTCTTGATTCGATCCACACTCATGAATAAGGATTACTGAATAAAGATTGAATAGTATCCATATTCAAACCCTAGAGACTCCACTTCTGAAATATCTCTCTTCCCTCTCCATCCCCACTGTCTCCGCCCAGGTTGTGCCCTCATTACCACTCACTCAGGCTGTTATAATACTCTACTAACTGGTTTCCCAAGACAGACTCTTTGTCAGTCAAGAAAGGAGCCATAAAGAGAAGGGTGCCTACCAAAGTGAAGAGAAACCCTCTGGAAGCTTACCTCATAATTCGGTACAGAAGGAGACAAGATTTCCCCTGATGGTCTCCCCTTCATGTTTGTTTCAAACTGAACCAGCCTGAAAGGTTCTGTTTTCAAGAAGTTGGTGAACCATTGAGCTGCCTCATCGCCACAGTCCCTGCCCTTAATGTCAAGCTGGAATAACCTGAAAGGGTCACAAGATAACACCAGGGTTACTAACATCAACACACTGAGTGATGGTGTACAATGGAACAGCTGGACTGATGGGGCCTGACTATCCCAGAAGGCTTGTAAGTGGTCCTTCAGCAGAAGCTGGGCAGAATAGAACAGGAGGGGGACCAGAGCAGAATGTGCTCTAGAAAAGTGCTTCTCAAATTCTACTATGCATGCCAACTGCCTGGAGATCCAGTTAAAATGTAGATTCTGACAGTAGCCCAAAGGTGGAAACAATGCAAGTGTCCATCAACAGTTAAATGGATAAATAAAATGTGGTGTATACATACAATGGAATATTATTCAGCCATAAAGAGAAATGAAGTTCTGATCCATGCTACCACATGGATGAACCTTGAAAACATTATGCTGAGTGATAAGTCAGTCACAAAAGGACAAATACTGTATGACCCCACTTACATGAATTATCTAGAATAGGCAGATACATAGAAACCAAAGTTAATTAGTGGTTACCAGGGACTGGGAGAGGGTGAAATGTGAAGTTATCGTTTGGGAGATACTGAGTTTTTGTTTAGGGTGATGAAAAATATTTGGAAATGAATAGCAGTGATGGTTGTACAACATGGTGAATGAAATTAATGTCACTGAATTGTACACTTAAGAATGGTTACCTGAACCCCTGTGCACCTGGTGGCCCATGACCCTGGTCTGACACACACTCCTTACCCTCTGGCCTCCTCACTCATCTACTGTCAAATCTGATGCTATTATTTTAACAGTTCTTGAACCTTTTCCTTCTCTCTGAACTACATTTTTGGAACCATTATTTAACCTCTGGTTAATTCTTGGCTAGGTCTTCACAGCCATCTCATGGTCCTCTCCTGGCCTTCAGTCTTTCCTCTAAAACTCTCCTGCAACCAACCAGTCTCCTACTTCAACAGATTTGGTGCCACTGATCATCAGTTCCTTAAGCACTTGCTCCTGGGTTAAGCGCTGCTCCTCAACTTTTTCAAAACAGTACCAGCATGTAAATGTACACACTTCTACCCCTCAGCTTCCACCTACCCAGGTGTCTTAGTTATCTGGTGCTGCTGTAACAGAAATATCACAAGTGGATGGTTTTAACAAAGAGAAATTTATTCTCTCACAGTCTAGTAGGCTACAAGTCCAAATTCAGGGCGTCAACTCCAGCAGAAGGCTTACCCTCTCTGTCGGCTCTGGAGGAAGGTCCTTGTCATCAATCTTCCCTGGTCAAGGAGCTTCTCAGCACAGGGAACCCAGGGTCTAAAGAACGGGCTATTCTCTTGGCTCTTGTTTCTTGGGGATATGAGGTCCCCATGTCTCTCTGCTCGCGTGTCTCTTTTATATTTCAAGAGAGATTGGCTCAAAACACAATCCAATCTTGTAGATTGAGTCCTGCCTCATTAACATAACTGCAGATAACCCCATTTCATCAACATCACAGAGGCAGGATTTACAACGTGTAGGAATCACATCAGATGACAAAATGGTGGACAATCACACAATACAAGGAATCGTGGCCTAGCCAAATTGATACACATATTTTTGGGGGACACAATTCAATCCGTGACACCAGGTAAGCTTGGCGTTACAGTTTGAAAAGTAGAAAGCACCCAACAAGGTAAGGGAATACTAATTATAAAATGTCTCTTCCCATTCCTGAAAATTATTTCTCTGCTAATCCTTAGTGTCTGCCATCCCTGAAAAAGACCGTATGTATCTATCACCATCCCTGAAACAGACTGCATGTATCTATCCCTCTGTCCTTCCACCTTCGATTCAAAAGTTTGTGCAAAATCCACTTTCTTCCACATTTTGACGAAAAATGTTCCATCATCAACATCCCATAAAACAACTTGACCCTCACTGTGTAAGCACACTAGAACTTCATTAGTTAACAGTCTCCTAATTCACAAAGCAAAAATAGCCTACTAAAAATTACTTAAGAGGACATAAAAAACTGGAGTAGATTTTACAAAGAAAATCCAGACAGTTTTACTGGCAAGTTCTACCAATAATCAAAAAATAAATAATGTCAATCTTGTACAGAAAAAAAAAGTTTCTAAAAGTTTGCATGTAAAATAGGAACAAATAAAAAAGGTATCTAGGACTAAATCTAACAAAAGATGTACAATTCCATTATACAGAAATTATAAAACTATAAAATTTATTAAAAAGAAAATAAGAAATAAATGGAGACAACTAACATTCATGGATAGGGAGGAAAGAGGACAATAGCTATTTAAGAGCCAACATTTACTTAAGTGTCTATTATGAAGCAGAAAGAGCCCTGGTGGCACAGTGGTTAAGAGCTACGGCTGCTAACCAAAAGGTCGGCAGTTCAAATCCACCAGCCACTCCCCGGAAACTCTATGGGGCAGTTCTACTCAGTCCTATAGGGTCCCTATGAGTTGGAATTGACTTGACAGCACCAGGTTTTTGGTTTGGTTTATGAACCAGGTGCTCTTCCAAATGTCATATGGATATATAAACTCATTTCAATTTTCTTTAAATTAAGCCACAAATTCAATGCAATTTCAATAAAAATCCCAGGAGGATTTTACATGGAACTTGGTAAGCTGATTCCAACAATTTTGGAAGAGCAAATCCCAAGAATAGTCAATATACTCTTTTAAGATCATATGTTTAAGTACTGTTTCTCAAGAGCAACCTTGTTGTTGTTGTTAGATGCCGTCAAGTCAATTTTGACTCATAGCAACCAAACGTGACAGAGCAGAACTGCCTCATAGGGTTTTCTAGGTTGTAATCTTCACAGGAGATGATCGCCAGGTCTTTTTCCCACAAAACCGCTGGGTGGGTTTGAACCACCAACCTTTCAGTTTGCAGCTGAGTGCTGGACCGATGCACCACCAGGGCTCCTTTTGATACATTCTTAAAGAATAACAATATGATGGGGATCTTGTCCTACTAGATATCAAGATGTAAAGTGAGAGTAACAACAGCAGTATAGTTTAGGAGCAGGAATTGATAAATAGACCAGGGCAACTGAATGAGAGCTCAGAAACGGACTTAAGAAACTTGATAAACGATGCATGTGGCAGCAGGACACGAGTGGATCATTCAATAAAACGTTGCAACAATGGCTACTCCATACAACAATCATTTCAGATTGCTACCTCAAACCATATACAAAAATATACTCCAGACGCAATAAAAACTTAAATGATAAAGGCAAAACTTTAACAGTTTTAGAAAAAGAATGGTGAGAGAATATCTTTATAACTTTGAGGTGGAGTATACTTCTTAAGACACAAAAAAGTGCTGATAAAGAAAAAGACTTACTAATTGGATTACAATAAAATTAAAAATGTTTATCAGAAGATCCCATAAAAAAGACAAAAGACAAGTTCAAAAACAGGATAAGATATCTGCATCACAAATAATCGACCAAAGGTTTGTATACAGCATATATAAAGAATAACTACCTGTCAATGGGTAAAACTTGGCCACAAAACATGAAAACAATTTCATAGACAAGAAAGCATAAAGAACCTATAGTCATAAAGAAAAAACATTCAACTACATTAAAAATCCAAAAAAATGCAAATTAAAACCACAAAGAGATACCACTGGACTCGTTTTACACACATGTGCAAGAGTCAAAGTGTAACAAATCCTAGGGTTGATGAGGACATGTCAACGAACCCTTATTCTGATGAAGTTTCAACTGGTACAATTTTGGGAAATAATTTAGTTCTTCTCAAAGTCCATGATATATTCAATACTCTTCACCAACACCATAATTCAAATGCATCAATTCTTCTTTGGTCTTCCTTACTCATTGTCCAGCTTTCACATGCATATGAGGCCATTGAAAACACCATGGCTTGGGTCAGGCACACCATAGTCCTCAAAGTGACATATTTGCTTTTGAACACTTTAAAGAGGTCTTTTGCAGCAGATTTGCCCAATGTAATATGTCTGATTTCTTAACTGCTGCTTCTATGGGCATTGATTGTCAGTACAAGTAAAATGAAATCCTTGACAACTTCTATCTTTTCTCCGTTTATCATGATGTTGCTTATTGGTCCAGTTGTGAGGATTTCTGTTTTCTTTATGTTGAGGTGTAATCCATACTGAAGGCTGTAGTCTTCGATCTTCATTAGTAAGTGCTTCAAGTCCTCTTCACTTTCAACAAGCAAGGTTGTGTCATCTGTATATCACAGGCTGTTAACGAGTCTTCCTCCAGTCTTGGTGCCACGTTCTTCTTCATAAAGTTCAGCTTCTCTGATTATTTGCTCAGCATACAGACTGAATAGGTATGGTGAAAGGATGCAACCCTGATGTACACCTTTTCTGATTTTAAACCATGCAGTATCTCCTTGTTCTGTTGGAGTGACTGTCTCCCGGTCTATGTACAGGTTCCACATAAGCACAATTAAGTGTTCTGTAATTCCCATTCTTTGCAATGTTATCCATAATTTGTTATGATCCACACAGTCAAATGCCTTTGCATAGTCAATAAAACACAGGTAAATATCTTTCGGGTATTCTCTGCTTTCAACCAAGATCCATCTGACATCAGCAATGATATCCCTGGTTCCACGTCCTCTTCTGAATCTAGCTTGAATTTCTGGTAGTTCCTTGTTCATGTACAGCTGTAACCGTTTTTGAATTATCTTCAGCAAAATCTTACTTTTGTGTGTGATATTAATGATATTGTTCGATAATTCCCCCATTCTGCTGGATCACCTTTCTTTGGATGGGCACAAATATAGATCTCTTCCAGTTGGTTGGCCAGGTAGCTGTCTTCCAAATTTCTTGGCATAGACAAGTGAACGCTTCCAGCTCTATAATATCATCAGTAGTCAATATATCTTATATCTGAATGAAACCCAACTGGAGAAATTTCTTTTGTTTTAACACGGACTTATTGTTTCAGTTACAAAGATATAAAACTTCTGTTGGACTACTCCAGTTTAAAGTTATTTCTTACTTCCTCCAACTTAAAACACGAACTTGGCCTTTTTAGACAACAACCATTCACATTCTTGTGATAATCAAGAAACCCTATTGATCTACGCTCGGTCTCAAAAAATTCACCACCACAAAGGGCGGACAGGGAAAACTGATAACAAGACACTAACAATGAAAGTTTAAAAAAAAAACAAAATCCATGACATTTCAGCCTTGTCCATATGCCTGTGTTAAGGGATTTCCTTTTCTTCTTTCTGATCTGAGCTTATTTTATTTTAGGCTCTGGTGAGTTCACCATGGTAATCACTCTGTCACTTATCATCTACTTTATGACATTTCTTCCATTTTTACCAGTTCCCATGGCGGCCACTCCACTAAGGATGGATTGTCCTACAGGCTGCACTAGTTACAGCACTTCTAAGTAGAGGTGAGGACAACATCTCCCCTCCTTGGTGTCAACCCAAATGCACAGCTTCCCACATCTGGTTTGTCCAAACCACTAGGGCTCTGGGGCCTTGTATTCCCACCTGAATTGGAAATACAGAATGAACGCGTACAAGAACCAGCTTCATTGGGTGACTCTGTCCGACCCTAATCAGCCCCAACTCCTCTTTCTGTCCAGGGAGGTTTGTGCCTCCCTAGAGTCCTGCCTGTTTAGCAAGAGAAAGAGCCTGGAGGGAAAAACTTGCCTACTTTGGATGACAAAGTGAGTCTGCCAGGCAACATTCATGTCTGTCTCTGGACACAAGTCAACAAAGCATTGTCCCGTGAGCTTCAGGTGTCCTCCAGTCCAATGGAGATGGCTACAGTTTTCCTCTTCAATAAATGTATTTGCTCAAAACCCATCATTCAAGGAAAAGCTTTTTTCTTTCCTGTGCATAGGAGTGGCACAGTGGTTAAGAGCTCAGCTGTTAACCAAAAGGTTGGCAGTTCGAATCCACCAGCCGCTCCTTGGAAACCCTATGGCGCAGTTCTACTCTGTCCTATAGGGTCACTATGAGTCGGAATCAATTTGAAGGCAATGGGTTTGCTTTTTTAAGGGTGAGTAGGAGTTAAGAGCAAAAACCTAGGAGGCAGGGGGGTTCAAATCCCAGCTATGCCTTTGCGTGACAGTGATCAAAGTCTTGGTTTCCTCATCTGTAAAATGGAATTAATGACACCCACCTCATAAGTTTGCTATGTCCCTGGGTGGTGCAAATGGTTATTGTGCTTGGCTGCTAATCACAAGGTTGGAGGTTGGAGTCCACCCAGAGGCACTTTGAAATAAAGGTCTGGTGATCTACTTCCAAAAAAAACAGCCATTAAAACCCTTAGGAGCACTGTTCTACTCTGACACATATAGGTTTGCCATGAGTCAGAGTCGACTCAAAGGGAAATGGTTTTTTACTTGCTAAGATAATTAACCAAATTATTTAATTCATGGAGTTACTGCTTTGGATTTTTGAAAATTAGGAAGCTTAAGTGTTGGATTTCAGCTCAGACACTTTGCTT